TTACTCTTCGTCCTATAATGTGGTCACTGAATTTTTAATCAAGTAGTTACGCCCAAGATAAATATTAAATCCTAGCTTAGGTCTAAAGACAAAGATAAACCTTTAGCAAAAACATAGTCAGCTTCCACCGAAAATATGAGAACCACACAAGTAAATTTACCTTCGTCAATTCTATCATGCATTGGAAGTAGCTAGGAAATCACCATTATCACAAGTATTGTGGTCGACGACATGCATAACCGGCCACTAAATTCTGGATTAAATCCACTTGATTTTCATTATTGCCAGTAATTTAAACATCCATTTTTTTTTCAAATGTAAGATTTGATTGTGGGTGATAATTTCTACATTGCTTTGCAGTTCCAAGTTAATTTATTTTTTCCTAATTTTAATTGCTGAATTGATTGTGACAATTGCAATTCTACTTTGTTGTGCATAATGATATACATTTGATAAAAATTTGATAATTTTGAAAGTTACCGTGCATAACTTGATAATTTTGAAAATTACCGTGCATAATGATATACGGTTGATTGTGACAATTATACTGTTATTATATAATTAGAGGCTACTAAGTTAGATTTTTTTTAAATACTTTATTGCATAATGATATACTATTGATAAAAACACAATTTATGCTCATCATTATAAAATGATATAAAATATGGATATAACTCATATAAGGAAATACTACACTATTTTAATCATATATATTAGATAATATTTTGAAATCAAGGAAATCATATTGACAGGTTCATATACTATGCCTAAATATTATCTTATTTCCTTCTCATATATCTTTTGGTTTATTATTGTTTATGACATTCTATTTTCGTATTTTTTTTTTTTTGACAATTAACAATAATATATACTACGTACTTGTATACATTTAGTTATACATGATAGCATATACATTTTTTTTTTTTTTTGTGTTATAGCATATACATTATTTACTATTAATCTAATAAGATCACTATTCAAAATCTTGCTTTATGATTTATACACAGCTCAAATGCCTTATTTTTGTTAACTTAAATCTATAATATGATATTTGTATTGTTTATACTACCATATTTAGTTGTATAAGATATCCTATATATATATTTACTATATTTAATGACACCGATTATTGGTTATTAGTAACTAAACAGACTCCTTTAGATTGCATATTAATATATTACAACAAAATTTAGAATTACCATAAATAGCATTCTATAATTAGGCGGGAAATTTTTCATTGTAAGAGCGACATGTGTCAAGTTTTAGGTTAAGCGTTCTCTGTTTTAGTATATATATATATATATATATATATATATATATATAGATTTCTTAAGGCAATTTTAATTGACAGGAGTATGTAAATAAAGTGAAAAGATATATCTCTCTTTGACATTCATCACACAATTTTGTGTTATAATAACGTTTCTTTTGAGAAAGTACATTAATTTTATTTTTTAACATTTTTTCTTTCCAAATGTTCCCCTTTTTATCTCCCTTCAATTCTCATCATATGTGTCCTTTTTTTTCCTTTTTCTTTTTCTCTATACCCCTTTTATAATTTTTATCAAGCCGACTTTGTCTACCTTAAAAATATTCGAATGTCACATCTGATTTCCAGAAGGTGAAAAATACAACTTCCAAATGGAAAAAATTACTATTACGTCCGTTTTTATTTAGTTGATACCTTTCTTTTATCACGTTTGTCAACGCATTATTTTAACGATTAATATCTCTAATTCTCGACAATGTAAAATTAAAAAGTGGTTATTAATATAATATACATTTAGACGATTTAAACAAGAGTCTGCTTGACTATGTTTTAACATAGCTATAAATCACAAAAGCTAGTCAAAGTGTAGCTTATGAATAGTGTAAAAGTCAAAAGGTGTCAACTTAAAAAAACAGAGAAAGTATTATTTAGAAACATATATATATAGAGTATTCAATGTAACTACCATAGATGATGAGCCGAGGCATAGTTAGTACAAGTATTAATTCCAATACCAAAAAATTAAGGCTACACATACAAATACACAAACCATCCAATATGCATGTAGTACATGAGTCAATCAAAACCCATCTTAGCCATGTCCTAATACACATGCATTATTGGTTATTTGTATCAAGACATACAAATATTAGGAGACAAGAAACAAGGAAAAGAAATTAGCATACTTTCATGACCATTTTGGTCCACCTTACTCCCACAATATCCCCCACATTTTCCTCCATCTTTATTCCATATGGACCCCATTACACCAATATAATCTCCCTTCATACGTTTTCTTCTCTTCCATATATAAACAACCTCCAAAACCTCTTTTTTGATTAGTCAAAATAAAACATATCCTAAGTTTTTTTTTATATAAAGTTTATACAACTTTTTATATGGATTATTATTCTAATGGCGATCATGAACATAAATTATTTTATTCAAACACTATGAAGATGAAACAAAATATTTTTGTAAGAAGTAGTGGGTTTAGATCAATTATGGGGATGCTTGTAGCAGCCTTGCTTTTGTTGGTGTTGCCACAAGTGTTGCCGCCTACGTTGCCGCCACCGCCGTCGTTGTTGCTCTTCCTTCCGGTCGTAATTATGGTGGCTTTGTTGCATTTTGCCTTGTGTTTATCTCCTAAAGTTCCTATCATAATTGATGCGGATTATGCTTGCATTTGATCCATAAAGAACAAGCTAAGCTAGCTGCTTCTTTGATCTAATGTTGCTATGAGTTTTTTTTTGTAGTGTTGATCAATTATCAAAAAAAGTTGTACGCAATTAGTATATATCTCTACCTTTAGCATATATTATGGTGTACAATTTACTTAATTTTTTCTTTTTTAATTTTATTTTTTTGGAAATGTATATCCTTTAATTTATAGGTTACGAAGTATTAATGTCAAAGAGTTTGAACAAGTATTTCTGATTTGGAAATTGAAGGTAATAATAATATCAATTCAAGCGGATTTCTTTCTGAAAGTTGGAGAATATATGTACAAGATATATATTTAGGCTTATATATTTACTAATTTGAAAGAATTTGTGTTAATTCCTGACCAATTTAATAGAGGAGATGATTGAGTGGCTAAATTGGTCTTTAGTTTTTCGTAAAATATGTTTTACTCATTTGATTTTTACTTATTTGAATTGAACTTATGATGTGCTCATTTTCTCATTTTACTTATGTGATGAACTTATCTTGTTCGAACATACTTTAATTTACGTGAACGAACTTACTATACAAAAGACTTTATTAGAACATACGAAGTATTTAATTAGTTGTTATTTGAATTTGGGTCCTTATCATTTTCTTGAACTTGATTATCAAAAGATTCAAAACTTATTATTAGACTTTATTAGATTTCTTTTAGTTGTAAATTGAATTTGAAAAACCCTTATTCATCCTTGTTAGAAATTATTTTTCTTGAACTAATGTAAATGTTTTCAAATTTATTATATGAACTTATATTTTGGGAAATAAGTGAAAATAGGTGAATGGAAGAGGTCCTTATTGTATTCTAGTCAATTCTAGGAGGATTTAATTGTACAATAAAATTGGAAGAATTATGTTAGAATTCACCATCAAGAGAAATCAAAGCTTCCCCAATTCAATTGCATCATTTACTTCTTAATTAAAAAAAATTAGGTCAGTTACTCAGTTGTACAGTAGTAATTAGTGTGCAAAAAGAATATTGTATATGTTATTGTTTGCCTTGTTTTATGTTTATGAGTTTATCATCATAATCTTTATTGATGTAGTAAAAGCTTAAAGCCTATAGTTAACCGGCTGCATATAAAATTGAGGATTTGTTTCTCTCATGCCACATGTCGATTGAGTTTGGTTGTTAGAACTTTTTTTCAACCTATAGATAGTCTAGATTCTCATCCTTCTAAGTTTACCGCTCTCTCAACAACTATTAATCTCGTGAAGGGAATTCACAAGTACTATGTGAACAAGATGCAACTAACGCACGTCATATCTGTAAATTACAAAGGAAATTTACAAGTAACATGTGAGCAAAGAGTAACTAACGCATGTCATATTTGTACAAATGTATATCATAGCCCCATAGTATACTTACATCTCTCTACTAATTTTATCATTTTTTACTTAGTAAAAATTCATAACTCGCTGATATATATAAAAACAATTGAGAAAAACCTCATTAACAACCACTTTCAATAGAAATTTGTTATACTTCTTGTTGGCATATGGGCGCATAGGTGCAAAATAAACTATCACGAAGACACAACCCTTGTGACTATATATGTGGCCTAACAAGCTAAGAGTTCAAATTTTAGGTTGTGTAACATGTCTAGGTATGTAAGAGATTTCAAGCAAAGGAGTGACATGACGCGACTCGGTCATGAAAGTTTTTCCCACTAGTTGGCACGCGCCATAAGACGTGCATGATGTGGCATTAGGCCTGACCCAACATGGCGCCTGTTGTTGGTAATTGCCCTCTTAAGCTTCATGTCAAATCTCCACATCTATGTACGTGCTTTCCTCTATAGTATACAATACCACCTTTAGTTATAGTACTTGATATATCATTATGAAAATTCATAAATACACATTCTTAGAAATTCAACAAATATGCCTAGGATGTTAACATGAAAACTTTCTAAAAAAAAACAGCACATACAAGTTCATTTCTATCACGTTGATTAGTAAATTAAAACATCACTTATATACATAACAAACCATCAAATAACTATTGTCATTTATGGAAATAATATGTTAATGGCTACAGAAAGATGATCAAATTACAATGTAAGTGAGTCGCGAATATTCACGAATCAAACAAAATAGTGTTCGAACTAGACAGAATTACAAAATGAACTTTAGATTTTTGTTCGAACCCATTTACTATGCCAACAAAAACTAGTTATGATCAACCTTGTTCATGAGAGTAATTCGTGAACTCATCAGCTCATTCGCACCCTTAATGACAAGAAATAAGCTCATAAAATGAGCTTTGGGCCAATTGGATCAAACCACAAAGTGAACTAAAAGAGCAAGAAATAAGCTCAGGTCTATAATACCCATTTCACATTCAATCTTCACATCCCAATCAAAATTCGATCTTTGACCTAGGGTTACAATCGAAATTCGATCCCCAATTTTTCTCTCTCTCTTTCCTCACTTTCTCTCTCACCGAACAACAATGGCGTTGCGTAGATTCATCAACGAGCTTCGAGGTGTTACAGTGAAGGAAGTTCCCGACAAGGTGAAGCCTATGCTATCTTTCTCCTACCTCAAGGAATCATTCGCCAAAGGAATCGACAGTTACCATGCTAAATACATCGAGACTGATTCAATCATGCCTCTTTACCATGTTTGCTTTGGTGGTATGGCCTTCTCTTACCTTGTTGCTCTTCCCGAGGAACGCCGTCATCTTGAGCATGCCCAGAAACATGGTCATTGATCTCCCTCCTTTTTTCAGGTAATTAGGTTTTGATTGTTTGAAATTGATTGTAATTGATTGAATTTGGAGCTGGTTAAATTGATTGGATTGGAAAATTGATCTTGAGGTTATTGGTTTTTATGATTTAGGGTTTGATGTTTTGGGAGTTTCTGATGAAATGTGGTTTTTGATCTTCTCGTTTGCCTCTGATTGAATGATTTACTCTCAGTTTTTTGGGTTATAATGTTGAATTCTGTGTTTTTTTTTTGTCTGTTTTTTAGTTGAAATTGGATAACTTTGAATTTGGTAATTGGTGTGAATTTTCCGTTCTATGCTGAAGGACTGTAATGATGCGAGTTACTGCTCTATTATAGGTGAAATGTGACAATTTTTTGTTTCTTGATCGGTTCCGTTTGAATCTTTGTCGCCGAATTAAAGAAAATCTGATGAATAATTTGATTGTCATGCTGACACTTGTGCTGGAATCCCTTTGTCTAGAAATATGAATCTGGTGTTTCAAGTTAACAGCTAGGATACCAAGTTTTGTATTCTGCCATGGGTGAAGATTTAGACGCTTATTGAGGCATAGTTTTTTACGAAGATGCAAGGGAGTTGGATGGATGAGGAAGTAATCTGGTGCTTTGTGATATTTGGTGACAGCCTTTTTCACATTATGAACTGATAATAGGATTTTATGGGTTGCTACATGTTACTATTTAGAAAGTGTGTTAAGAGTAGGGATGTCACGATGCAACCAATTAGATTCTGATTATGAGTGTGAATTTCATTAATCTTGGAGAGCTACAGTTGGTCTTGCCTTGTGTTAACCATAATGTTTCACTACTGATGTATGACGTGCGGTACTAGGTAGTAAAACTTTGAAGATGACTAATGATTATGTGGTTATTGAAGTAGATGCAAGGGGGATTGAGGGCAGGGCGAGGAAGTAGTCTGATGCTTGGAAATGGTGCTTTGTTCTTCAGGAAGTATTTGTGGACAGCCTTTTTACATTATGAACTGATGATAGGATTTTATGGTTTGCTACATTTTACTGTATTAGAAATGTGCTATGAGCAGAGATGTCACAATGCAACTAATGAGTATGCAGTCATCCGTTTTGGAGAGCTACAGTTGATCTTGCCATTGACTACTTATGTATGATGTGTGATACTAGGTCTTATAATTGTGAAGATGTCTACGATTATGTGGATATTGTAGTAGATGCAAGGGGGATAGGGTGTCTGGTGCTTGGAAATGGTGTATTGTGCTCGAGGAAGTATTTGGTGACTGCAATTTTTACATTATGAACTGGTGATAGGATTTTATGGGTTTCTACTTTTTACTGTATAGACATGGTGTTTTGTGTTTGAGGAAGTAGATGTCCATGATTTATGCTTATTCTCAAATGCATAGTTTGCTGATAAATGCTGTAGTACCACCTAATGTTTTAAGTAGCATTTCAATTGTGTCCATGAAGAACCATTGTTTTCTTGACTTAAAATCGAATAGGTACAAGGCTTACAGAAGTACTGAAACAACCTAGCTAATTGTCTTCTAGTTGTGGGCATGGTGTATGTGCATGCGTGTCTTCTTGTATACTCTATATAGAAATGTAGGGAAGTTAGTATATGAGGTTGGGTTGTTGTGTTTTACAACGTGACTTTTATTGAACTTCGTATCTTGTTAGCTTATTTTGCGCTGGATTCTGCATGTGTTAAATGTAATAAACTAGCATAGGGGGAAGGGACACTTTTGGTTATGCAATTTAGTCAATTAGTATATCCTTTTTTTTTTTTTTTTTTTTTTTTTTTTTTTTTTTTTTTTTTGGGGGGGGGGGGAGGGGGGCAAGAGAAGAGAAAAAGGAAGTCAGAGTGTATAATTAGACTACAGAGGCTATTAGGACGAAAGGATGAATTAAGCTTTACTTGTTTGAGGTTACTTTACTTTTCTTAGCATTGGGAGTGTCCACTGTCCAGCCACTCAAAAGTCTGGACCCCATTTGATGATTTAATTGCATCGAATTTCAATCTACTATCAATTTCCCCTAACTTTACACATCTTCCTTATTTTTACATTTCTAACATTTTTGTCTATTACAAATTTGTATTTGACGGTGCGAATTTGACGAAATGGAGTTTTCTTGAGTTCTTGTTTCGTTACCATTTCTTACCAACATTTGAACAATAAATGGAGGAGATAATAAGGACATGCTTTGAGAACTGTAAAAAAATTCTTTGAAAAAAATACTCAATGGAGCATTCTCTGTACTCAAAAACAACTACCCACATTTTTTTATTGGATGAAGGATCTCTCCAGGTGGTTGGCGATTTCCCTTCCTGAGGTGGAGACAGAGAGTGATTAAAGAGGTCGAGCAAGCATTTCAGGCAAATATGTTGGTGGTTATGCTAGTGACAGTCAAGGTGATTAGAGTTCCAAACTGAAATTCTAGTGTTGAAGGGCAAGGGGTTCTCAATGGTGGTGCAGTGGATTGGGGTCTGGTTGTTTTGCAGACGTTGAGGATTTTTTGAGAGAGGTGATGCTGATGGCATCTTATCTGGTGGCCCTTCGCCTGCAGTAGCTATTGTGGTAGTGTGGTATCTCTTACCAGATGAGTTTTAGAGGTTGCAGATAATGTGTTCCAAACCGAACTGTGGAACCACCCCTAGAGGTATCCACTACCACAAGAGGGTTTTCATTTCAACCCAAGTTTAAGAGAGGAAAATGGGTGTAGGAAGATACGCTGGTTGTGTGGTTCCTAGGGGTAAACACTTTTGTTTTCTGCAGATTAGTCAATTAGAGCAGAGAATTTGTTAGAAGAGAAAGAGGTGAGAATGTATCAGAGAGTATCAGGGTGTGATGAAGTAAACTAAAATTGGTTGTGAGTTAAATTTTTTATTTTTGACAGGGTGAGTTTTATTAATTTGATGTTTTTTACTTAGCATGTGGAGTGTCCAGCTATTGAAAAGACTTATAATGCGATCCTCTTTTGATGATTTTATTTTATCAAATTACAATTTATTATCCCAACTTAACTTCTTCCTTGTTTCTGATAGATTCACTTATTTTATTAGAGACAATCTGACGACCCTATTTAAATGTTCTTAGGGGGTTTGGAGAGATGAATGAAAAGAATTGTTGGCTGGTGTGTTCTTTGAATGTGGTAGGTGAAAGCTTTTACTTTATGTTGCAAGTTAGGGTTATTTTAAGAGGTCTGTTAGAAAGAAAACAAATGAAGCTAATAAAAGCTGACGTACTTAGTAAAATGATGAGGTATGTGATGAATATTAAGTAAATATCCAAATTGAGTAAGGTGATTGAATCAGTTTAGTGCAAACTTGAATTCTACCATTCATTGATAACCAAAATCAATTGTTCTCAAGTCCAACTGAAAGACGTAGATCCTGAAACATCTTATCTCAGCTCATTCATGATGCATTCCATATCCTACTGTATAGTTTAGAGTTATGGAATTGAAGTCATAAGTAGATCTATCTTTGGAATTGAAGTCATAAGTAGATCTATCTTTCATATGTAGGATTGTTTTGATGTCGGAGTTGAAGTCATAAGTGGATTGTTCTATGGGTAGATGTGTAACTTGAGCTCATGGGTGAACTCTGAACTTTTGTTGCATAGAAGAGCTAATGCTTTGTTTCTTTAATTAGTTAATGTTCTTTTGCTCTTAGTGCCATATTTGGTAGCCCTTTTTGTGAGCTTGGTGGATGACTTGGGCACATGACTGAATATTTGTTGCTTGGAAGAGCTATTGTTTTGGGTTTCCATTTTGATTTGTAAGTAAGCTTTGCTTACAACTATCATGTGGGTCAGTCAACAATTATTTGGTAGGGCTTTATCATGCACACCATATACTGATATACTGCTTTGTAATGAAAATGATCGGAAGATTGTTATGGTTTTTGGAGGTAATATTTCCTCTGGATTTCGTTTGGTTGCTGTTTTTAGGTGATTGCTTTAGAAGTGCATTTATTGATATTTCTTGTGAGCATGGGTTGCCCTTTGCTCAGTTTTCTTTTCATATGAATGTTGTCTTACCAGAACTGTTTTTTCATGTATGCAGGTTGAAGTTTGCATGTTTGGGAGGTTGCTGGAGTCCGTCAAGTTGTTTTTTTTTGCTTTTGCCTGTTGAATTTGTAGAGTGCTTCACAGCATTAACCAAAAAATAATAATTTTTGGGAACATATTGATGGGTGAGGTTGATATTGTAAACCTCTGAAAATCAATTGAATCACTGTTCTACATATTGAAAATTAACCTTTCCAGTTTTGTGGAAATGTAGTGTGTTACTACATGCGTAATTATCATTCCGTTTACTGCATTGCACATATCCTTCTAACCCCTGTTGTCACTCTCTAAAGAACCTGTTTCTCACCACAGCGTGATCATTCGCATCATGTCGCATAATCAAGTGCAACAGTTAGAAGCTGGACATAGGTGTATGATGATAATCCCCGCACACATGAAGTATAAGTGTATAACGTCAGCACACTATGTGCATGATATAAATAGCAAAAATCAATTACTATGTAAAAAAAATAATCGCTATTTCAGCTTTTCAATACTCTTTCCTAACTCTGTAATACTCAGATTTTTAAATGCCTTAAAAATTTACTTCAAATTTTGAGGATTGAATTTTGTGAAATGGGTTTACTTTCATGATATAGAGCCTAACGTCGTTTGTATTCTACGCTTTAATCAATGTGAAGATTTCGACAAGGATGTTATGGCTTTCCTTTCTTTCACAATGAAGGTTATAACTAAAAACTAATTTAGATTAAAGACCAAGGGCATAATTGTGTCATCTTAATAGTTAAGATAAGTTGAGACAGTTTTTTTTTTCCCTCAAAATCTTCAGATAGTATTGTAGCTGATTTTTTCTTTAAAAAAAAAATATTGTAATTGATTTCAGACAAAATAAATTCAAATAAGTTCATACAAAATAAATTCAAAATAAGTTTAAATAAATACAATATATAAGTATAAAAAGGAGCTCAAATAAAATTTAAATTATGTTTTAATC